GTTTTGTAGTGAATTGCAGGTGTTATATGTCTTGAAAAGTAATTTTTTTTTTTAGCAGCAAGATGTTGCTCCTCGGCGACTTTAATTTTCCCAGCGCTGGTTGGCCTACTTTAAGTTCACCTTCCCAGGACACCTAGATTTTTATTGACTTGACTCTTGATTTTAATCTTGTTCAGATTATTGATCAACCTACTCGTGTTGACAGCATCCTTGATCTCTGTCTAGCATCTAATCCCGAAATTGTGACGTCCGTCTCATTAATTGACGGATTTAGCGGCCACCAGCTGATTCACATGAACGTGTTACTTCAGTCTCAAAGAAAGATCACTTCTAATTTTATCCAGGATTATAATAAGGCGGATAATGCCAAAATTAACGCAGCTCTCTCTGTATAGTAAGTGTATCTGCGAGTTTATAGCACTTACACTTCAGCATAACTAACAATTTTCACGAGTGGTGCTTGTTTTTTGAAAAGGTAATTGAAAATATTCAAACACTGATTATACTGCACTTTTTTTCAGGAGCAAGTATCTTCGATGCGCAATGCCTCCTGACCGTGACCAAGGAGCGATGCTTTGGGCAAGTCAGCTTTCTGGAGGCTATTGAGCTCATGTTCGCCTCGTACTATTGTCTGAGCATCCAATACCCAAGTGAGGTTGCCGCAACGCTGGAATTAATGCAGAGTTAAATAAAAATCTTCATAAATTTCTTCATTTATTTATGAGAAGGGAGCACCAGTTGAGCCTCAGTACAAAAACCAACGTTTCACTGAGACACATGTTTCTGCTCCTGCTAATTCTCTTAGTGAAATGCTGGCCGCTCTGCTACATCACTGCCTTGTCTGCTTTTATTCATGGTGCTTCATTTGCATTATAGAGCATAAGTGTCAATAAGTAAGTCATAACAATTCTGCCTCGTCTGTTTTTATTCATGGTGCTTCATTTGCATTATGGAGCATACGTGTCAATAAGTAAGTCATAACAATTCTGGCTTGTCTGCTTTCATTCATGGTGCTTCATTTGCATTATGGAGCATAAGTGTCAATAAGTAAGTCATAACAATTCTGTGTAATAAAGTAGTTAAAAATAATTGCCTTTCTTCCATTTCAAAACCGAGACCAGAAACGATAACAAAAAAAAAAAACGGACAGAACGCACAATGTATGTTTTGTCCGTTGTTTTCTTGTTCCTCGTCTCAGTTGTGAAATGGAATTCATTCACTAGCTGGCCTGTGTTTTTACCCTTTAAAGCATTGAACTTCCAAATATGTTTGTCTTTAAACTTGAATACCTACCTTAACCGTTGCATTACTTATAAGACCGTGACCCTGTTGCATCAAAGTAAGTATAAGAGTGACCGTGTTGCATGAAAAAATAACTTACACGCACAGTATATTTAGAGTATATGCCCTTAATTTACCATTACTATCAATCTATCGAGTGCATGAAAACTAAGTATAATCTTTACGTCAGAGGGTTGTGGCTCTGAGAATATATTGTGATTCCGAGGTTACCAAAAGCGCAGAAGTAGCATCACAACATTCAGTATTCAATCTGCTCTTGAAAGGATATACCTCTTAAATTAAACTGTGTGTTTTAGATCCCAGTGGAACGGTGGACCCGAAATAGGTCGAACATATTTGGAAGTTCAACGCTTTTGTGCGCTAGAATGGGGAGCGGAAAACAGGTTTCGTTAGATCTGTGGCAGCCATGAGTCGTTTGCCAAATAGATTGAATATTTTGTTAGCAGGATATCGGAAACTCGATTCCCGTACCGAATTATGTGAAACCTTATTATTCAATTCAAATTTTGATATTAGCATACTCTTATCTGATGTTTATCTTCTGAGCACTTTGGTGCCAAATTCTTTTTTGTTATACTAACATAAAAGTTTAAAGAAAAAAAAGGGGTGTCACATTTTTGTTTCGTCCAGGATACTTTTGTTAATGTGGCTCTTCAGTGCAAATAATTCGAGATATTTCTCAATTAACTCAGAGTACACAGCATTTGCACATTGCCAACATGCAGGTATGTGCAACCTAGCTATTCAAAGACTTAACTCGCTGCAGAATCTAACGAGGCATAACAGCAGTATTACTGAACACCACACGACCGATGTGGCACATTTCGTCACAAAGGTAACAAATTGCACTAGCTAAGGAAGCTTAGACCCCGTGTTCTAATAAAACAGATGACCGCTATACGTTTTAGGCTACTACGCTCTTCCTTGTTTCATCACATACAGCTAATTGGTTTCAATCCATCTGAGGGAACCTACAAAGGCGGGATAAAAAGAGGACATTTCATTTTGGTGTGTTGGCTGCGACTACTGCGCACAAGGTCTGTGAGGAGGGTGTAAACACAAAAGAGAAATTCTGAAAATGTGTTGTTTTGGCTTCGCTGACAAAGGGGATTGAATTTCTTGTAATACTTTCGGCCCATGGGTCGATACATTAGTTAGAGGAGAAGAACCCAACAGCCATACAGGAGTTGTTTCATGTGGCACGCAAGATTTTAGTATAAATATCATAACAATATACAGTTGCAACAGAGCCTTGCCAGCAAACTTTTCACGCTTTGAACTGGCTCCGTTTCATTCTTTTGATTCATTCATAATCTTCCCCTTTCTTCTTTGCTTTTACTCATCGATGCTTTCCCCCTTCCCAGGCTCCTTGGGTGCAGGCTGTGTCTTGTAATACGCTGCCCTTGGATTTCGAAAGGGTGGCCTTTGCCCCTCTATGCCTTTTTTGTATCAGCATAGTAACCTTTTATGGTGCTAATTTATCATACCCAGTAATTATTCAAAATCTAGGGCACTTATTATTTTTGTTTTATTTTGTTTTCAAGGTTTTCTAGTTCTTGGCAGGGACTTGATTGCTTTGCAAGTTACAGGGATTGCCTTTCACATGGAAGCTGGACGTGGCCTTCTAATTATTTCTTAAGAATAAAGCTATGAACATGTTTTACTCAGTACTGAATCTTGTGTCCGCTTCCTTGAAATACCTTACTAACACAGTGTTCAAGCACCTGTTCATCTCTGGGAGGTGCACTTGGCAGTAATTTCTTAAATTCACCTGTAGCTGCAGGCTTGAAGATACTCATTAAGTGCGGCAATTCCATCTTCAAAGGCAATTTTCCAACTTCCCTTGTTAAAATGTCTTCGTAGCATAAGTCACAAGTTGGTTTCACTGTCTATTGCACGCCAGAATAAAGCTGAGGCTCTTGCACTGCGGTTATGTGTAACTCATAGTTTGCAGAAATCGAGGAATTTAGTTTGCCATTGCATTCTGTTGAGAACCTAATCATTCTGCACATTTTTTGTTTTGTATGCCAGGTTTTTTAGTTCTCCATATGAACTTGATTGCTCTGGAAATTAGCGATTGCCTTCTACATGAAAGCTGGATGTGGCCCACTAATTATTTCTTAAAGGGGCCCTGCAATCATATTTAAACGTCTATCTTTTTTGCGGTTTCCACGTCTCTTGGGGTTCGGGCAAGCCAGCGGGAACGGAGAGAGTAACTAAATACCAGTGCGTCATATTTTAACCGAACGACGCGGAAACCTCCTCCACCGACGGGGGCGAGCCGCGGTACCGAAAGCGCGCGATATGTGACGTTTTTGGTCCTGGGCTTACTACTGGTCAGAGCCGCTAAAAGCTTCTTTTTTAGTCGAAATACAAAATATAAGTGGCGCGAACTGTTTCAATTATGTATAAAAGTAGTTTTTGTTCAGTATTTTAGATCAGAAAAGAAACAAATGCAGTTTATAAAGTACGGAAACAAGAAATGACCCGTCAACGTACCCGCCATTAAGCGGTGTAAAAGACGGCGCATACTTGAAAGGAGTAGTGGGATATGGCGCCGACACGGAAAGGTACCGGATGTACGCGGCGGCACGTCCGTCGTAGGGACTGCAGGACCCGACCGGCTCCGAGCGTTCCGAACGCCTTCGGCGAGCAGCTTTGTCGGGCGGTTTGGCCGGTTCGCGGTATGGCAGCGCGAAGTGACTCCCATTCTGAACTGATCTTTACCCCGTGTTTGCTGTCGTTTGTGGCCAATGAAGTGTCATGTCGAATTAGTGTTTAGTCGTGCAGCAAATGGAATGTGAGCCGCCCTGGCTGCCCGCTGCATACAGCCTATCCAGAACATGCTTTAGTGATGCCCTCTCGCGCCGTCGACACGGAGTGCGGCAGCAGTGAGCGCTCGATGAGCTCACTACCCCTCCTCTCTAGTTCGCGGCCACTCAAGCAACCAAGGACGTCATGAAGGAGGTTATTTTTTGCTTGTTTTTGTCATTTTAATTTGCCTATAACTTTTAAAATAAAGCGAAATTTGAGAAAATAAAGGTTTCATGAAGTTACTACGCTCAGTGCGCTCAGGATAGGTGCAAATTAAAAATTAGTAAAAAAGTCATTGCAGGGCTCCTTTAAGAACATAGATATGAAAATGTTTTACTTGGTACGACATCTTGGTGTGCATTTGATTGAAATTGTTTACTAACACTGCATTTAATTATCTCTGGGAGGCACGGTTGGCGGTAACTTCTGAAATTAACTTGCGACATCAGGCTTGAAAAAACTCATTGAACGCTGGAATTCCATCTTCAAAGGCATTTTCGGACTTCTCTCGTTAAAATGGTTTCATATCATGTCACAAGTTAGTACACTGTCTAGTGCGCGCCAGAGGAAGGGGCGGAGAGACATGCCCCCCCCCCCCCCCCCCCCTAGAAAACCAAGAAAGAAACCAAAAGTTATGAGAAATTTTGCGTTCTTGTCCAGAAGGTAGGGCGGCCATGGCCTCCTTGGCCCCTGCAGACACCAGTCCAAGAGGGCTTTCACGCACCGCCACTGGGGCAGGCCTCTCTAGCACAGTCCGCACCATACCCATGCGGCGGGGATAGGATGGGACGAAAAGTGTTCGCTCTGGAGCGATACGGTGACCGAATTTCTGACGTTCAACTATCTTCTTTTTTTTTGTGAAGGAAAAGAAAGACAGAGAGGGGTAACGTGGGGAATCTTCGAGGATTGTTTATACTCCAATGTAGCGTTGAGCATACGTATTGACGTAAGCAATTAGACTGACGACGTCGTTGAGCTTCGCCAAACGTAAAGTCCTTTAACAAACTTGACCCTTCGTGAAAGGGCCTTTTGTCGCGAGTGTAGTCAAAGTGGCTGCAAGGCGCGAGAATCAAATCTTTCATGTTGGGTCCTTCTGGAAGAGGGTTCGCCGTTGTTGAGCATGTTCTCAGCTTCTCGCTCCCCTGAAATTAAAGAAAAACGAACAAACACATTTTGTTAGCGATAACTAAAATAGAGAAGCAGCAACGACACTGTCATATGCATCTAACATCCATTTCCGAGTGAGGTCGTATAAATAGGAAAGAATAGTACGCTTTGACGCTAACTTGCACACTGTAAGACACGGTTAGCGCGAACACAAAACACCAATATTTAGCGCTTACGAAGATTACAGTTATTCTTAACTTCTAAGTGAAGATCAAGGAAAACCGTTTGTTCATGATAAGTGTTGCGCTCTGGACGTCGTTTTCTTCACAATGACACTTTTGCTTAAAGGGAAACTGGAGCGGTTCTGTATTTGAGAAATGTCACTTAAATTGTATCGATTTGGTATCCAAAATTACGAATATAAAAATGATATATTACATTGATGTGCTAAGTAGCCACAGCTGCGCTTTCAAAATAGCGTTGAAGCCCCGCCTTTCCATCGCGTTCGGTGTGAGGAGGGAATCCTGACGTATTATACAGAGATCTCAGCATTTCCGCGCTTTCCGTAGGCATGGCCTCCGAGATTTTTCGTGCGCCGGCTGCGCTTCTCAGGCCATTGACCCCGTAAGTGATGACGTCACAAGATGGCGCTCCGCTGCAAAGAAATCGTTGCTAGAGCCGTTGTTATGCACAAATGCTTAGGGGCCCGACGTGCGTTTAGAAATTGTTTGATAAAAAGTGAATAATTCTTTGTACGTTTTCTTCTCACTATCTAATCCTGAAGGCTTTTTTATTGTCTCGGTACCATAAAGCGATGAGAAAGGCCCGTAATAAAATTTCACAACCGTTTGTGCCTTGCTAGCAGACTACACCATGGCTTCGCGGGCTCAGTGGTTCCTTCTGAGGGAGTTTAGGACCGCCTTGCATGAGTTTAGTGACGACAGTTGAAAGTGCCATTCTCGGGGTCAACTTTCTGTGGGATTCCGGAAGCGAAAAGTCCCCGTGCACAGCTTTCATCGACGCTGTAGGTGGGCAAGCGCGTGAACGCCTTCCCGTGGAGCTCGCTTCCGCTATATCATAGAAGGTGAAAACACTGTGAAGCCGTATAACGTGCGACGACGACGACGTGAAGTGTGTCAAGGTCGAAGTGCACGCCAGCACACGTTTCAAAGATTTCTGACAGCACAGGCTTCAGTGCATATATTTGTGTATGAAACGAACTGTCCTTAATAGATATATATTGCCACGCGCGTTGCTGAGCGAGCACGTACGTGGCCGAATAGTTACCGCGCTTGGCTGTCACGCGGAAGGTCTGGGTTCGAATCCAGGGAGCGGGATGGCTTTTTAAGTTCTTCTTTCTACTTGGCGGTCTCACAAATTCGAGAACTTTCTCGTCTTATCGAGTTATCAATGTCCTGCGTGCCGAACGCTCTAGGCCGAATGTTCCAGAAGCACATGCGGCTAAAGAAGGTGCTCCGCGTGGCAAGCTGGAGTAAGTCTCGCCCCAGCGTTCGATCCTGCTGTTACGCCGACTTCGACGACCGCGACGCTCTGCTTTATTCTGTTCCCTTTAAACTTTTGGGGCACAAATTCGGCCCAATAAACGTTTCAGTATACTCAGTTATTTTTTGCCTCGGCACTTCGTCATCCGGGACATTTCGGTGGAGGTGCAGGGTAACGCTAGGCCTGCAGCGTACCCCTCCGACGGCCCGCAGTGCAAGTCCGACACCAAGCCCACGAAGACCCAGCGAAGACACGACCGAGACCCGATTGAGTCCCCACACCCAAGATCTACTCCCGGAATTCGGACTTCTGCCAACCAAGACCAAGCAGCCAACGAGGCCGACGATGGACCACCAGTCGTCGCAGATCCCGACCACCGCCGCCGTCGTTTACCTGCCCGCCGCACCACGGACGGCTGCTTCGTTCTATGGCGAACAATACGAAGACGTCGAAGACTGGATCGACCAGTACGAACGCGTTGCCTGCCACAATAAACGGACCAACCAACAGCGCCTGTACCACCTCTATTTCTCGCCTGAAGGAACTGCAAGGCGCTGGCTCGAAAACCACGAAGCTTCTCTGACTTCGTAGGACCTTTCCAAGAACCAGCTGACGCGTACCTTCAGCAGCCAACACTGAAGAGAGAGGACCAAAGAACTGCTGCAACTGAGGACCCAGGGCCCCTTAAAGAGCGTCACGAGCTTCGTGGAAGACGTCTTGCGCCTGAGCTCCCGCGCCGACCCTCAGGCCACCGAGAAAAGGAAGCTGCGTATTCTGAAGCGTGACGTGAAGGACGACATCTTCGGTGGATTCGTACACAACCCACCGACGACTGCTCAAGAATTCGTCACCGAGGCGACGAACATGGAGCGTGCCATCCTTACAGGGGCAACCCACTACCAACGGCACCCCGGCATATCTGCCCGCTCGCCATCGGGATTCGACCACGGCACCAGCCTGGCTGGAATTCGCGAGATCATTCGCGACGTCGTCCGAGTAGAGTTCAGGAAGCTCCTGCCTGCTGCCAACCAGCTGTTGTCGCTGTCAATAGCGGAAGCTGTCCGCGAGGAAGTTCAGCGGGCAATCCAATCGGGGGTTCCTTCCACCATAGCAGCACCGAAAGAGCCCGCTCTGAGCTACGCCGCTGTGGTCCGACGAGCACCACCAGCCCCGCGTCCGTACATGGCGCCTCTCCGACGTGAAACTCCAGCGCCGCAGTACTCCCGACACCAGGAAGATCGGGCACGCGTCCGCCCAGATTCAAGTTGCGCCAAGAAAAACCGACGTGTGGAGGACGGCCGATCGACGCCCGTTGCGGGGAAGTCGACCATATCTTCCGCCGTTGCCCCTACCGGCAAATAGGGCTGCGCGGCTTCCACCCGAGCGACCCACGCCCACGCAATGGTGAGCGACCGCAGAGTATCTTCGACTACCTCAGACCGCACCGCCTGCACCTCGCCGCGGGTCCCGGTGGCCGTCGCCACGACGTCCAGCTTTGCCGATGCACCGACCCCGTCGTGACAGCCTGTCGCACTTGTCTTGCCGGGAAAACTGAGAGCGGCAACTTCCGAAGGTGAAGTTGCGGTCGACATACGACGCAAAGAGCCTCCACGAACGCCGGAGCGCTCCCATTCTCCGGTGCCACGCACCGCAACGACGCTCCGGCAAAGGTACCCAACAACTTAAATGTGGTTGTCGATAACCATGCCGCATCGGCACTCGTGGACACTGGAGCAGACTACTCAATCTTGAGTGGGAGGATCTCTCGCCGCCTTCGAAAAGTGAGCACGCCGTGGGATAGGCCGCAGATACAAACCGCTGGGGACACCTCATCACGCCTGTCGGAAGATGCACTGCTCGCATCGAAATTCACGGCGGGACGTGTCCATGTGATATTCGTCGTTCTACAAGACTGTGCCAGAGACGTCCTTTTCGACATTAATTTTCTGTGTGAATACGGCGCCGGCATCGACCTTAAAGAGAACAGATTGACGCTGCGGACAGGTGTTCCGCCTTCAGGGAAATTCCCAACTGCGTCAGCCGCCATCCGAGTCGCTGCCGACCACGTGAGCCTACCGCCGCAATCGTGTGTTATAATTGTCGTGACCGAGGCAGGTTCCTGCGGCGAAGTTGTTCTGGAAGGTGACCTTGAATTGCTCCTGAAAAGAGAAATAGGCGTCGCATAGGAGTAGCTGCACTTCAGGATGGGCACACTGTGGTCCTTGTGGCGAACTTCCGACAAAAAACGCAACACCTCACTGAAGGTGCAGCTCTGGGCCACGTCGAGGAACTCCTAAACTCCGCCGAAATCGCCGCGATTACTGAAGAATCACCGCCGCCTCAGCAAGACTGTACGTCGCCAGCGCAGCTCGACATTGACCCTAAGTTTCCGGGCCCAAAACGACGGCAGCAAAGTGACCTACTCGCCGAATACATTGACTGCTTCGCGACGTCGTCGAAGGTGCGCCAAACCAGCTTTGCGAAGCATGGAATCGTTACCGAGGATGACGCGCTTCCTGTGCGTCGATCTCCATTCCGAGTCTCCGTAAAAGAAAGGGAGGTGACCCAGGAGCAAGTGCAAGAAATACTGAACGACGACATATAATCCAGCCTTGAAGCAGTCTGTGGGCCTCTCCAATGTTACTGGTTGAGAAGAAGAAAGGAACGCTTAGGTTCTGCGAGGACTACCGGCAGCTGAACGCGGTGACGAAGACGTCTACATACTCCCCCGCATAGACGGCACGCTAGACCGGCCTCGCCACTCTCGATAATTTTTATCGATAGACCTGAAGAACGGCTAATGGCAGGTCGAAGTCGACGAAAGGGACCGAGAGACGATAGCCTTCGTCACGCCGGATGGACTGTACGAGTTCGAGTTGATGCCCCTTCGACTACGCACGGCACCAGAAACGTTCCAGCGTGTCATGGACACCGTACTGGCAGGGCTGTCTCGTCTACCCTGACGACGTCGTAGAGTTTTCAAGTGACTTCGACGAGCACTCGCGACAACTCCGAGCTGTTCTCCAAGCCATACAGACCTCCGGCCTAAGTCTCAAGCCATCAAAGTGCCAGTTCGCCTATGACGAACTGAAGTTCCTAGGCCACGTGGTTAACAACGATGGCGTTCGGCCAGACCCAGGGAAGACCCGCACCTTTGCGGCATTTTCAGCGCCTACAGGCAAGGCCGTGCAAAGATTCCTTGAACTATCTGTGTACTACCGGCGCTTCGTTCTCGATTTCGCAAGGATTTCCGCGCCGCTTACAAACCTCACAAAGGACGCTCAGAAGTTCGAATGGGCCGAGAAGCAACAGCAGGCATTCGACGAGCTGAAGCGACAACTCCAAACTCATCCGGTTCTTGGACAGTTTGATCAAGATGCGGAAACCGAGATTCATACGGACGCAAGTAACGCAGGATTAGGCACGGTACTGTTTCAAGTGCAAGAAGGCACCGAGCGAGTCATCGCCTACGCAAGTCGGACACTGTCCAAAGCAGAGATAAATTACTTCACGACTGAAAAGGAATGTCTTG